CTCCTAAGTATTATGCATTTCTTCTTTCAAAGTAGCTTAGATGCACACAAAGCATCATCCATCATTACAGCATAATTAGGAAGGACCAAAAGTGATATGATATGATCAATAGCATGCCGGTGCAATGTTCAGCACCTGCTCACTGTTGAGGATATCAACCACAACTTTCCTTTATTCACCAAAAATACACCATTCAACTTCACATATGTCCTGTGTCACTCAACTAATCATATATAAAAAGAAAATTTAGTATCAGTCTTTACTGCTCTATTTTTTTCAGTAAGATCATGTAGTTAACTGCATCTGCTGTTTATTAACAAGACAAGATATAAGCGCCCTTGTTGTTGACCTGACATGCTCTCTGATTCTTCCCATAGTAGTAGTATAGTAACAACAACTTTACAGTAACTGAAAAGCTTACATTTCAAGATAAATTTGGAAATTATTCAACATTACTCTTAATCAGACCATCATGTTCATCATCATCAGAATTGGAAGGAAACTTGGAGGTCTTCTAGTCCAACCCCCTGCTCAAGCAGGAGACCCTATACCATTTCAGACAAATGGCTGTCCAGTCTCTTCTTGAAAGCCTCCATTGATGGAGCACCCACATCTTCTAAAGACAAAGATCAGAATCTTGATTGGAAGACATGTGGAATTGCTTTTCAGGATGATTTTCCTTAGAGAGAATCATTTTCAAGTCCACAAATCTACATGAGAGTGAGATAACCTCTTTCTTAGCTAAATCCAAATGCATTTGGTTATTTTTTTCATCTCTCTCTAATTACAGTGTGGACCTTGGCCTTGTATTCCATACTGGTAATCTATTAAGGACATTTAATATGCTAACATATTTAGCACATATATACAGTAAGTGTTCTTGTTTTTCTTTGCAATGTTCAAGCAACATTAACTATTGTCATGCTGTTGTCTATAGTGTGAACCAGTGTCAGACTTGCCCCAGCCAGATCCCTAGGAAAGAAAAACCCTTGACTCCATTTGGTTGAGTGATAGGTGCTTTTACTAAGGATTACTGGTTGCAGCAAAAGCAGGCTAGAACTAAAGCTTCCCATACAAAGTTACAAGTTTTCCCCTTTGTGATTCCCCCCTCCCCTTTGCCAGACTGTCAGTATCCAATAGCAACCCTGTGCAATATTTTGGGAATCTCTTTGATGTTAGGCATTTCTTGAAATGATTGTGCATACTTTCCCAGGCTAGGCCTCCTTGGGCAGCTGGATTAGTCTGGATTTCACACGTCTGATTTATGTCAGTGCCAATCCCTCCCCCCTCCCTTTGCCTCCTTCTACTTCCTCCTGCACTTCTTCCCCAAATGCCTGTGCCCCCTCTCCCAGTTTATGGCAGGATTCCAATAGTTTAGCAGAGTGTAGCAAGGATGGTAGAGCTGACAGCCAGTTTGGTGTAGTAGTTAAAGGCAATGAGCTAGAAACAGGAAGACCATGAGTTGTAGTTCTGGTTTATGCATGAAGTTAGCTAGATGACATTGGGCAGTCACTCTCTCCCTCTCAGCCTTAGGAAGAAATCAATGGCAAGCCACTTTTGAAAAATATTGCCAAGAAAACTTGTCAAATATTCAAGACTGAGTCAAAGGCATAAATATAAATTGTCACTAATAATAGTAACCAAACATTTAATTTTAAAAATATGGATGTCTTGGCTGGAACAAAGAAAGCAAGATTTTAGTAATTTATAAGGAAGATGTTTCCAAGAATAGTCATGCATTGAAGCAAATTATCAAGGCAAGCAGTGAGATCCCTATCATTAGAAACTTTAAAAATACAGTAAACTGAGAAAAGAACAGATGTAATTGTGTTTAAATAAAAGCCCATTAACTAACTGCTGAAAGATAGCAATCATAAGTTATCCAGTGGAACATTCTTTAAATTTTTGTTATTTTATATTTTGTTGATTTTGTCAATTTATTTAACTGTACATTATCCAAAGTCTAGTCTTTAAATGCAATATTTAGACTTATAACTCACATGTAGAAGGATTATCAAATATAGGTTAAATAAAAGCAAAAAATTATATCTACCTGATTGTAAACCAGAACAGTATGTAAAGAAAATATATTTATTTAGCTCACTGGGACCTTACCTCTGATTTCATAGGCTTAAAGATATCTAATAACAAATTTAATGACAATACAGTGATTTTAAACTCAAATGTGGAACTGGCCTATCTGTTTGCCCTATAAAAGCTAAATTTATTTGTTTTTGCTTTTAATTTCATATTCCCTTCTATATAATAATATTGAAGTTTATAATTAAAAAAATAAGAACTAATATAAACCAGAGTAAAAGTAAAGAAGAATCAATGTGCCAAAAAGAAAGAGAAAAAAGAAAGAAAAGAAAGTGGAATGAATATATAAAGAGTATTCTCCCTTCATAAGAACTATATACAATTTTAGTAATTTAGCATTTTCTCTTAAAATACAATAAATGGTCTCTTCTTCTCATACTTCATCTCTTCAATAAACAAATCTTCGAAGCCTCATCATTTAGTCCTGATCAGCAAAGTCCATTACAAGTTACCAGAGATAGCAATGTATCTGTTTTAGTCTTGAGCAACCATCTTAACATTCCCTGTCTTTTAACAATCTGATCTTTAATCCAGTCAAATAAAGTCTTGGAACTTGATTTCTTATTCTTTTTTCTCTCACACAAAATTCTTCACAATATTAATGTCCCTTTTTTATAAGTATAAGAAAGTTATCCAGGTCACTCTTTTGATTTGATAAAACATCATTGGATTTCATTTATATATCTATTGTAACATCTCTTTCCACATCATTCCCATAACCAGTCATTTTTATATCCCCTTTCAAATCAGAATCAGTCTCATCTAGTAAAGCTTGTTCCTTTTCCATAACATTTTCTAACCACGATCAGTATATAACAGCAGACATTTTTCAAATTAACTTCTGGATCTAATGTGCTCAAATATCCTTTAGTACATCCATTGTTAAAATATGATGCACCATTCTGTATAAATAAGTTGAAGTGTTCTTCTCCTTAAATTGTCATCTGGTTTCCTTTAGCGTCCAGCCAACTCCCATCTTATTTATTTACACACACACACACACACACACAGAGGCATTTCAATACAAGTAGTCCTTAAGTTATGATCATTCATTCAGCAACCGTTTGAAGTTAAACAAGGGAGACTTACGACTAGTCCTCAGACTTTTAGCCATTTCAATACCTGCATAGTTATGTGAACAAAATTCAAGTTCTTGGCAACCAGCTTGAATTTACAACTGTTTGCAGCATACTGCTGTCATGTGATTTCCATTTGTGACTTTCCTTGCTGGCTTCCCACAAGCAAAGTCAATGGGGAAACCAGCAAGAAAAGCCTTCCCCACCCCTCATTGCACACCATGCCCTTCTTTCCCCCTTTGCTCAAACTCATCCCATGACCTCCTTCACCTGCCTCCCTGCACTCACTCACTCACACACATACACACGTGCACCCCACACCCTCTTTCCCTGGCCTCCCTGGGCTCACAAACACCCCACACCCATTCTAATCTTATACTGTATATAGTGATTACATCAGTGACCAGAAACACATATTAACTTTGTTCGGTTGTTCCTGCCAATTTGCATAGCTAACGGGGTGGGGGGGGTGGGGGGGGGAACCAAGCTAGATTTGCCTGAGTGGGTAATCAAAGTACTGATAACTCCTCTTGTCCTTTCCTTGTCCATTATGAAGGCGACAGCCTTCTCTTAATATTTGTCTCCAAATTCTTTCAAACAGCTGAACATGACAAATTCAATGTAACTATCACTGATAATACCTATCCACAGAGCTGCTCTGTATAGACCTATCATATTATTTTATTTTTATTTACTAAACTTGAAAAGGAAATGAAATCACTCCAAAATGCTAAAGGGGATGGTAACTAAAATAACGTAGTTAATTGCTTAGTATGTAAAAACACCCACGATCTCCTATCTGTAGCAAATAGCTTTAAGGAGCATGAAGTAGAATTGTGATGAATAGGAGTGGTTTTACTGCTGATTGGAATTTGGTGTGGGAATTGTCTGGATAGCAAGAAATGCTGTGGCTGCTTCTCCAGGAAGTTTCTTTTAATGAATAATTCAGAAGCATTTCTGCAAGCTGTAAGCAACGTTTTCAAAGCTTTTTTCCACATTCTGGAAGGAGTTGTTTTGCTTAATGCTGGAAAATCCCTTCTTTATGGTTTCAGAACAATTTTACTGCATGTCACTCCCCATACATTTCGGCAGTTCTATTCATGTGAGAAATTTATATTGGAGTTGGAAAGTTTATGCATCAGTGCTGGTACAATTGATACTTTTCAACTCACAACTCTGTTGAGTAACCCAGTTTATGTAAGGCACGTTGCTATAGAAATATGAAGAACTATGAATTAGATATTACAAGAGAGATTAACAAGTTAAGGGGGGAAATGTTGTCTTCAGGCTCAAGATTATTACAAAATTGCATTTTCTTTATATTTTTTTTCTAATGTTCCAGAAAGTAATATAAAAAGGACATTTTTTTTTAATGAGGAAAAACTTAAATAGCTATTTGAATTGACTTTTAAAGAAACATTATGTGAAATGAGGTAGACCAGTTTTGGGATGAATCCAAAGATCAGCATGAGCAGGACAGTAATGGACTTCAAGGCAACCTTAGTCAGATAGACAAGAGAAAGAAATTTCCTCTTTTAATAACTATGTCAAACCTACTTTAAGGCTTATAGGTAGTCCTTGGCTTACAACCATTTGTTCAGCACCCATTTGAAGTTACGGCAGTGCTAAAAAAATGGACTTATAACCCATGCTTAACATTATGGCTTTTGCAATGTCCTACCCCAGTCATGTGAACAACCCATCCATACTTACGGCTGTAGATCACTCCAACTCCCCTCAACTGCCTATATATTCCAGTCTCTGCCCTTTGGCCATCCTGAACTCCAAGACCCATGCTATCCTGCTCACCATCACCCAGCTTACCTTTGCCATTTTCTTCCTCCTGCTGCTGCCAAGGCAAGGGCAGTCTGTCTGCTGGGCTGGACTTTGGCTGTGGGAACAACAACAGCAAGAACAAAAAAAGCTGAAATCTTCTGCCAAAATGCCCCTTTGCAAAAAGATCCTGGAGCAATCCTCCTCTTTCTTCTTCTTCCTCCATCTTCCTCCCTCCACCTCCTCCTCCTTCCCCTTTCTCCTCCTCTTTCCCCTTCTGTCGTTCTTCCTCCTCCATCTTCCTCCCTCCTCCTCCTCCTCATCCCATCATTCCTCCATGAGCTCAATATGGCCCTTCAGTTTTATTTCTGAAACGACTTTCCTGTTCTGAGTGCTTGAGCCAAAGTCACACATAGCTGAGGTGGACTTGAATCTAGTTTCCCTGTTCTCTAGGGACACTCCGACCACAATGCCATTCACCATTCATATTTCATAAAATGAATGGTAAGGGGGCTGGCCATTATTGAGCCTGATGATGTTTTCTTAATTGAAAAACAGCCCATGAAATGCAAAGCATTTGTTTAATAATAAATAGATTGTTTCTTCTTTTCTGGTTCTCAAGGGAGGCAGCTAGAAACCCTAAAGCAAACACTTGCTTTATAATCTCCCAGCTGAGATTTCACTTTGTGGTTAACAGTGGTAATTGTGTATATTGAAGTCTAGCTAGGAACTGCACCAAGCTGTATTTGTTTTTATTTAAGGGGTAAAAGAACATTATTTCCATGGCTTTCCCCGCATGGTGTCAAATGACATCCTTTTTGTGTGTGTGGAAGGAAAAGAGGAAATAGTCTGATTTGTGTGTTCAGTTTGCTTCACAGACTCTGCTGAGTAATCAGCTCAGGAACTCAGGAATTTCAGTGATGGTGGCCATCATTTTACACACACACACACACACTCACACACTCCAACGAGTTAGATGTAATATCAAGAGACAAATGCATGCAAAGTTCACTTTAACTATGCGTGCTTTAAAAATAAACTGGTGCTACTTCATCTTGACACTCATTTTTGTACTACCCGTTACATTAAGTCCTTAAATGCTTCAACTGCATTGTTGTTTATTCTCTCTGTGATTTAAGTGTCTGATTTTCATTTTTTTAAAAAAAAATTCAGCTCATTCTGATTATTTGAAGTCCACTGCTGTAGACCTGACTTAAACATAGAACCAGTGGTGGGTTGCTACCGGTTCTCACCGGTTTGGGCGAGTCGGTAGCGGAGATGATGAGGTGAGAGTGGACCGCTTCTCTCTGATGGTTAGCTTGGCCCTCCCGTCTGCCCCTGCGTTATACATACCTTATATTCGGTCATTTTTAGCCCAGCTGAAAGACATAGCAGAGCAGATTTCTGTGTCTCAGCTGTTCCTTAATACACTGCGCTTGCGCAGAGCGAAGTGAAGCGCGTGCATGAAGCGAACCGGTGGTAACACTGGTTGAAACCCACCACTGCATACAACTTTATGTAAAATGAACAAATGAACTGTATTAATTGGGCGCATATGTGAAATATCTGACCCTAGCAGTATTAGTGCAACACCATTTGTTGGCCAAACTGTGGACTGGCCCATTCAAACTGGTTTTGTTTTGTTTTGTTTTGTTTTGTTTCGTTTCGTTTCGTTTCGTTTCGTTTCGTTTCGTTTCGTTTCGTTTCGTTTCGTTTCGTTTCGTTTCGTTTACTCGATGCAAAGGAACCAATTTATCACACAAGGCAAGGAAATTACAAAATCTATTTATTCTGCACAGAACCAAAGATGTGGACCCAAGTCAAAAATTGGGAGCCCCAATACACAAATTAGCATAGCTTTTATAAACTTCTAAACAAAAGTGCATGATTGTTAACAAGCAATAGGCAACAAGCACTTCACACCCCTCCCAATGTAGCATTTCAGCCCCCTGTCCTTTCCTTGCTGGTTGATAAGATTGGCAGCTGAATATGCCAAACTTTCTAGCTAACTTATCTGCCACAAGAAAAAGGGACTTAGAATTGACTGCAGCCTGTTATGAGTTATTTGATGATGGCAGTCTTGCCTGATCCTCCCAGAAAAGTACAGGCAGAGCAGAAGACTCGAAAAGGGAAACAGAGACAACAATGGAGTTTAGATAAAAATGGGGTTTGAGCCAGCCACACTAGTCCTAAACATTTACTTAAAATGAAAGCCCAGTTTAAATGCCCAGCTATGACAATCTTGAAAGCTTCTAAAAATTATTAAAAACATAAACTAATGGTGTTGCATTTAATCCACATAACAAACTAGTAATCTATTTTTCATTATACGTACGATATCTGTTTTGTTAATCTGTTCTGTTAAACAAAAATAGGACTTCCTTAGCTTTTTCATGAAAAAGCTAAAGGTTTTCAACAACAGATTTCAGGGCCTGGTCATGACGTGACATACCCTTTTAACAAGGGACTATTCCATAAATGAGAAAATTTTTCTAGTACTCACAGAAATTTATTTTAGAAAGAGGAAGAGTCCAGTAATTCACATTTCCACTCTTCCAGACTCTAAAAGCTTCCAGGCATAATAACTCATACAGTCTGACCATTCTTTCATTATATTCATGCCATAGTTGCTATTAGTTCCTGATACAATAATACGTAGCTTGTCTATCCAGCAGGAATTTTCAGTCATGCAGTCAGTCCTTTCAAGGTTTGTTTTCATTAACCTTTTACATGTTTGAGTAGAGAGTTCACTCTTACATGTTACTAGGGAAAGGATGAGTGTTCCCCCCACCCTGTCCTGTCCCCCCAGCAACAGCATTTACTTGAAATACAACAAAACGTATCTCTTTTCTGCTTCCCAACTTGGAGAGGAAGAGAAAGCCTAAGGCCATGATGGCAAACCTATGGCACGTGTGCCACAGGTGGCACGCGGAGCCATATCTGTGGGCACGCAAGCATTGCCCTAGCTCAGTTCCAGTGCACATGCGCACACTGGCCAGCTGATTTTCGGGCTTTCCGGGCCCACTGGAAGTTGGGAAACAGGCCATTTCCGGCCTCCGAAGGGCCTCTGGATGGGGGTGGGGAAGGCCGTTTTCACCCTCCCCAGGCTCCAAAAAAGCCTCTGGAACATGGGGAGGGCGAAAAACGGGCCTACTGGGCCTACCATGCCATCACATGCCAAAAGCGGGAGGAGCACGGGGGATTGCACATGCATGCATGGGGGGTGGGGCGCATTGAATTATGGGTGTGGGCACACAGACACATGACACCTCCATGCTCCCCACGCTTTTGGCACACAACGACAAACAGATTAGCCATCACTGGCCTAAGGTAATGTTATTTTTCAATTAGCCTGCCAGAATTTTCAGGTGCAAGAATAAGACAGCTTACTTTCTATACAGACACCATATTTTCATATCTGTAAATTGTAGGCTATAAATTTTAGAATGGTGAAATTTAAAGATAGCATATTTTAAGGATGGAGACAACAGCCATTCTGTTAACCTCTTTTTAGTAGCAGTCACATCAATCAACCTCAAAGTCCTACCTAACTCCAGATAGCATTTGTAAGATACTATCTGGAAGACTTCCTGTTTTGAACTGCACATACCAAATATGCTTTTATTTATTTATTTTATTTATTTAATTTATTAGTCATATTTCTATGCCGCCCACTCGCCGAGGACTCTGGGCAGCTTAAACCAAAGACAGTATATTAAATAGCATATTGCCCCCAACAATCTGGGTCCTCATTTTACCCACCTTGGAAGGATGGAAGGCTGAGTCAACCTTGAGCCAGTGAGATTTGATCCACTGATCTGCTGAACTAACAGTCAGCTGAAGTAGCTGCAGTACTGCACTCTAACCACTGCGCCACCTCGGCTTTCAGTATGAAGTTATTGTAGGTGCCCACAGTGAGATGGTTGGCATATAAATTTAATGTATTATAAATAAATTGCGGGCAAATAAGAAGAATGTCAGTCCACTGTTGATTGATTTATTCCTTCTGAGTTTGCAAATAAATTGGTGAGCTATTCAGTGCTTCTCAATATGAGTAGTAGAAAACACCATTTATGTACATGACTGAGTTTTCCAGGATTTGCCATTTTGCTCACAAAAGAACTCCTGTTTACTTCTTGTTTAGAACATTTATATACTCTGACCTTCAAAAAAGCCTTTCTGAGAACTGTTCGCAAATGAAAACTAAAAATACAGTAATACAAAATATATTTCTTTGCAATTCCCAGGGTACAAGTTGACAGCTGCCTTTGTGATTGTTAGCGCTGAGAAGCTAGTAATTTTATCCACATCTGATTATTGTACAAACAAGCAACAAATTGGTCTCTCAAGGCATAATTTAACATTTGACCAAATTGACAGTATTCTGACATCCTGAGTGCTGCAAACTATACTGTTGATTCTCCACTTCTCTGGTTATTACTGATTCTGAAAGCATTGATGTGGTAGAATAAAAATAAAGTGGAATATGCAGCATTTTCACTGTCCCTCAGCATTTTGCAAACATATTCCCTCTTTTTTGTGTTAATTAAAGTTTTCTGGAATGAAAATTGCCTCTTTCCCTGCCTTCTTTGGTTCATTTACTAGCATCTAGAAAATAGTGAAAAGTAATTTTTTTAATGACTAAAAGTGAAGAAGTATAAATATTTCTACTACAACTTGAGTAGACCAAAGGCCCTTTGAAATGTTCCTAGCTTTAATTAATACATATGTATGGGACACAATATGAAATGGCCTTTTCCAAACAACATAAACAAGTTGTTATGTCCATATGTACATAGGTTTGTGTAGAGGGTTTGTGGGTTTTCCGTACAAAATCCACAATGAATGCACCTAAATTGGGGACAGGTTTTCCAGTTCCTTCTCAATCTTCTTTTTAAATTCAGATAACATCCAAAATAACATCACATCACAATTTATATTTCTCTGTGTGTGTGTATTTGCCCTACAATATCTCTCATGCAATTTACGACAGAAGTTATCAATTACCATAGAGCCATGTCTGAAATCAAGTGGTTAATTCCCTATACAGGATGTTCATGGTAGGATGGTTTTCTTTATGTAAAAATCTGCAAATGTAGATTTTTTCCAAGAAAGTAATATTGTGTGGTTCGACTTTTATAATATTGAGAATGTTACTGATGCATAGTTAAGGCTCAGTAATGTTCTGTTTTTGTAGTATGAATTTAAATACATTCTGTTTGGTCATGAACATCCTAATTCAATATACAGTGGTAGGTATATATACTATACATATTTTCAATTAACTTGTAGAAGATTCACAGTTTGTATCATATTAAATATTCCATTACCTCAGGGTGCAGTAATGGCAGTTGTTTTGTTATTAAAATGATTAAAATTCCTGATGTTCACATTAATAATCTACCATGAATTTTGAAACTAGAAATATTTTGAACTATTACTCAAAGCTCACTAATTAAGTTGTAGAATTGGGGACATATAGGCAGTAGGACAGTTCAGTTCAGATGCTTCGTTGTTATGTCAGAAAGGGTTACCTAACTGCCTGATTGTTTTAAATTATTCTAATCATTTATGTCTAACATGTCTATCAGTACTGTTAAACATCTACATATTTAAATTTAAATTTCCACATGTACAAACGAAGAAATAAAGATGGTTGTTAGCGATTCGAAGCATCTGTCATTTCCAAAAGAAAAGCGAAGAAGAAAAAATATCTCTTTAATACAGAAGTAAAAAAAAAAAAAGATTAAGTGATTTCCCCAGATGTCTGAAACAGAATTATGCAAAAATAGCTATCTTTATCTAGCTTGTTATTCTAAATGGCATTATCAGTGGTGAGCTGTACATATTTTAAAATTATCCCACAATGTTTTGGCACAAAAAGAATGTCTTCATCTTTTCTCTGCATTAGACTTCCTTAAAATTGTTGCAATGGAAGTTATGGCTGCTGGATCATTTAGTAAACAGCACTATCCATAATAAGATCAGGAACCTTCCTGGCACCGAATGGAAACTAACTGTGTTTTTCCTATCACCAGATGTCTGATGGGTTACAAGTGGTGGAAATGCTCACTCACCCTGTCAAAAATGCAGAGATCAGTTTGATCGCTTTCAAAAGTGCATTATCAGACTGTGGCAATCAATATGTGTGAATGTTACAATAAAGATAGATTTTCATGGTTTCTGTTTCTTATCTAGACTGCCTTGAAGGGCTGACATCAGATATCTGCAGGGGTTGGACTTTGGACCTTGGTTTAGATTGCAAAGTCATACCTGCAACATTTTGCAAATATTTAAAGCAAACTTGCCTATCAGTACTGCAGGAGACTTCCCTTCTGCAGTTGCTTATCTCTAATAATTGATTTCAGAGAACTTCAATTGGTAGTTTAGCTGATCTTTCTTCTTTAATGCCCAAACCTATTAAAGAAATGCCTAGAATATCCAGTCATGTTTGTCAGCTCTGATCAAAAAGATGAAACTTCCCACTCCTGTGAATCTCAGGATGCTCTTTAATGTTTATCTTTTTGGTCTTTTGAATGGGAAGGACATGAGATTCACTCTTTTCCTATTCTAGGTCAAACTTTAAAATGAAGCCACCTTCTTGGCTTTGTCGTTGGCCAAAAATAAGTCATTATCGGTACATGTTTCTGGTAGTAGCCAACATACCAAGCAGATGGACCAGACTCTGTGTCTCTTCACATTCACACAGCGTGTTGTTATCTGCTAAGAGCCTCTGCTTGAATATATTGATTTTACATTTAGGCATTCCAACTCTCAACCTATTCAGGATACTCCAAGTAGTATAAGGGAGGTCAGCCATATCCTCCTTTTTTTTTTTTATTTGATTTACTGGCCGCCCTTCTCCGGAGACTCAGGGCGGCTTACAATGTGCTCAGCAATAGCCTTCATCCTTTTATATATTTATACAAAGTCAGCTTATTGCCCCCACAAACTGGGTCCTCAATTTACCTACCTTAGAAAGGATGGAAGCCTGAGTCAACCTTGAGCCTTGGCGAGATTCGAACCTACAGTAATTGCAGGCAGCTGGTCTTAATAACCAGCTTAATAACAGGGTGCCTTAGACCACTGTACTACCAAGGCTCTTTAATGTTATTCCTTGCTCGATGGTCTCCTTCCTCCATCTTTTAATTCAATTTTGTTCTTGTGTATTGAGAATGAGATTTAATATCTCTATAAGAATAAAAAAAAGAAAGAATTACTGTGTAAATTGTATAATAACCCAAATAATAATTAATCCAAATTTAAAAATAGCAGAACCCACATGGCTTGAGAGAACTAAGCAGGATAAAGTAATGAACTAGTTCTACTCTACTAGAAACATTTGGTAAAGTTCTGACCACAGTAAATCAGTACTGCCATGACCTCCCTCTCTGGGTATTAAATCCTTGTGTTTCTCTAAAATTGAAAGGGAAAATCTTTACAGCTTCTGAAATAAAACATTCATAGTTGATCATTTGACTTAGTTTGTGGATTGTAGTTCATCAGCATTTGGAGCGCCATAATTTCTTCATCCCCAAAGTAGATTTAGTTTCATTCTACATATAGACATTACACACTTATATACAATAAACACAAATTTCCAAAGAAGCATCTTTATGTTATTTTGTCATGTTGAATCTGTTCTTGGGAAAAGTAGGGTTCAAACTCAGCTACCATGTAAGCTTGTACAAATAATTATCAGATTGACTTCATTATTAGTAACTTGGCAATATTGTGAACTATCTCAAATAAGTTTAGAAAGACAAAAATTAAACAAGGATGATCAAGTTTCTTTAAAGCATTATGGAAGTTACATTCTAGAAAATATTTAATAAAAATCTAATTGTACTGTTTTGGAAAAATAATGCTTGCTTTTTTTTCTGGATGTCTAGATAATTATCCAGTGATACAGTTAATTTTTGTTATAGTGGAGGTGGAGTTTCAATTCAAAATAATGCTGAAGATTTTATTTTGTTTTTACTTTTTTAATTTCAGGTTTGGATTCTCTGACAGGGCATGCATTTGCAGGTAAAGTTACAGTTAGCCTGGAATTATGTTGTATATATGTGGTATAACATGCTGTTAAATGTATTTATGTGTGCATGCAGGATTTCTGGTGTTAACAGTCATATATTTTGTATTGTCTATGAAACATATCTGAATAAATATTTTGAGCAAATAAATACTGACAATTTATCCCAAATCTTACAAAATGGAAATTGACATTTTTTACTAGAAAAGTCAAATTCTTACAATATAATTATTACAATATCATTTAATATTTGCGTACTGTCTAAAAGTATATGCATTAACACACAAATCACACATCTATTTTAAATCTAGGCCATTCTATAAGGGGCAGTACCATGTCAAATTATTTTTAAAAACCTAGAAGCTCTCCAAATATTTCACTGTCGTTTCACTGATTCTTTGTGTTTGTGTTTCCTTAAGAAGAGATCAACTTTCTTTTTAAAAAAGTTTCTATTTTATTTATTTGATGACTATACCTATTGCTATTTGTGATTATCTTGAGTTTGGTTTCAAAATAGATTAATAAAAGGAGAGCAAATATGAAACATTTGTTATCTCCATCTACTTTTCTACAATATCTTCACACTAATATGTATCTATTAGCTTTGAACTGTTTTGGATAGCTAGTTTTGAATAAAATAACCGTAAATAGTAAGTAGAGGACTACTTGTTACAATCAATAGCCCAAACCATCACTGCCATCATAGTCAAAGAATGTCCCAACGAATGAAAGAATGGTCAAACACCAAAATAGGAAGAGATGTAAGCTCACGAACAAACAGGGATAAAGATAAACAAGAAAGAGTTATTGTTCTAGCCCTCACTACACGTTACTCTGTGTGGAGCTTGACATGCAGCTAAACCCACCTATCTTCCAATAAAACACACCATGTGCGTAGATCTGGATACCTTATTAAAGGAACAGGATGGATGAAACTGGGAAAAATAGAAATACATTCAATAAGAACCCAAATACAAAGTAAGCAGTGTTGAGTTGCTGGTGAGCATAATAATTAACAAATACGGATAAATCTAAATCTCACCAGCGATGCTGTGTCTATGGGACATGGATTTTTGTCCTCAGATAAATGTGTGCCACGGATTAGACTGGATTCCTCTGGGTGCTTCTGTTTCCTCCAAATGCTAAAGGAAAGGAGTCTGGCTTCATTTGGGATGCACTTGTTTTGGGAGTGAGGGTTTATCGGTGGGTGGCCCTTAAAGGGCCAAGTCAGCTTCCAAATAATGCAGATTGCTATTTGGCCGCGGCCCCTAGATGGGGACAGAGAACAACAACAGTATATACACAAATGATGTCTGACAGTATGACAGTTATGCATTTAGGAATTTAGAGTCTCATGGGAAAAAATATTTCAAATTCTTGTAAAAGAAAAATCCATTTGGATTTTGTATGCTACTTTAATGTTATACAGTAATTCCATGAAATTGGATTTTATAGCCAAGAGCAAATCCTTAAAGGAGATAATTTAAATTAAAACTTGTGGAAATGGTCAGCTAGTTTAGCTTAGGGCAGAATATATTATTAATTGGATAACATGGGATTGAAGACAACTGACAACTTCATAAAAGTAAGGCAGAATGAATATATTTCCTAAAATAAATTTCAGAAATATATTTCCTGAATTTTTGATCATACCCGATTTACATCCATAATATAAAACGTAAACTTTTTTTCCCCTCTTAACGATCAATATTCACATGTGCAGTACATATACTATGGTGAAGCCATCTTCTATCATGTTAAAAGCTTGCAAATTGTTTAGGGTTTTTTTTGTTTTGTTTTGTTTTGTTTTGTTTTTTTTGAAGGTTCCAGGTTCACATACACCTTTCTCCATATCCCAAGCATAGATCTTCTTGAGCATCCAAACAGGTCATATTAACACCATTCAAGTGATACAGGTTGCCCATGTGCTATCCATCTATTGTTTAACTGAAACACAATTTACAGCATGTGAACTTTCACACTGAATTAACTTTAATTAAAAAGAAGTTCCAAACTCTTCTGATATAAAGAAAAGAGTGAAGGACTAGAAAGTCCATTGTCTGCAGCGGTTCATGCATCACACAAGATGGTGATTTCATATGTTGTCTAAACTAGGCCATTCTTAATCTATTCATTAAATAGCCAAATAATTTCAGAGAGTATAACCGTTAATACTTCTAACAGAAGCACTGTAACTTCTAGTAATGTAACGATATATTACCATTTTTAAATCCACAATATAAATTCGTTTTAGGTGCTGCTTTGTTGTTTTGGTATCTTAAACCAGGGATTTAGAAATGTGAACCATATTTAATAAGAGCTGGATTTATAATGCACATGTAAACTAGAATCCTCAAGTTTATTACTATTAATATATTTAATAACTTTATTACAATGAGGGTATATATTTTCAAATTATAATTTTTAATACGCTTCATAAATTTTGTTCTTGGTTTTAAGAACTAAGAAACATGCTGGAACTATGGTACAGTTGCTGTAACAACCCACAAAGATAAATTAGATTTGCTAATTAATATGCTATCTTTGATTTATGTCAGGCTACTCTGTCTGTAAGGCCCTCAACACAGCTAGCAATTAAAAACCATCGTTTTCCCAAGCTCTGCAGAAGAAAAAAAAGAAAAGGCAGTGTTTTGTAAGAATGGAGTAAGTACAACCATGTTCATGTGAGTCCTGCTGATGATAAGTCAAGAACGCAGGTAGTTGCAAAACAATCATTGGTGACTGAAAACCATTTGACTTTCAAAGGAGGTGGCACAAGGAGGGATTTATATTGCTGGACCCCCAGTGATTCAGAGCATATAGTTGGCAACAGGTTCTCTGTACTAGTTTAATAGGATCTTGAAATTAGCCTGGGAATAAATAGGCAACTAATAATAGAAGCTAATGGTATATTATAGAAAGGCTATAGAAAGGGAGTGAAGATAATGATAGGGTATATGCAACAATAGCCAGCTGTTTCTTTTCAAAGGAGAAATGCAGTTGTCATCAAAGCTGGGATTGACAGCAAGCTCTCAAGGCCAGAGTCTCCACATGAAAATAGATTTCACCTAAATCGAAAAAAACTCTAGATTTAGCAGACTCTCTTAGCAAAGAGGTAAACACTAGCTTATTGCAGCAACTGGTACACAACCTAAAGTTGCACATAGGCTCTCCTAGCTATGAGGATCTTCTACCTGCTCTTTGAGCAGGGACTATGAGTCCAGGAGAACTCCCAAGTTGTGGACTGGATCCATCTGGGGGATGCAACCCCATCTAGAATGAAAGTTGACAAACTCCCGTATCTCAGTGTCCTTTCCACTCAAAGCCAATTTGACTTGCCAGTCAAAACCTTTTGTCCCCCATCCAGGCCCCCACAACCTCCAGGCACCACAAGAGAGCAGCATCTGCATCATTTCGATCACCAGGAGTGGAAATATAGAGTTGGATATTGTCAGCATAATGAAGATATCTCAGCCCATTATGACAGTGGATCTTACCCGGCAGCTTCATATAGATGTTTAAAAGTAGTGGAGAGAGTACTAAGCCCTGTGGCATGCCACAAAAAAGGTCCAAGGGCTGGACCTCTTACTCCCAAATAACACTGATTGGGACCAGCCCTGGAGAAAGCAGCTGAACCAGCACAAAACTGTGTCACCCATCCCCAGCCCTTGTAGCCACCCCAAAAGAAGACCATGGTCAATGGGATTGAGGGCTGCTGAGATGTCAAGGAGAGTGAGGATGGTTGCATTATCCCCATCCTGCTCTTGCCAAAGATCATCAACAAGTGTGACCAATGCCTAAATCCTGACTGGAAAGGTCTAGTTAATTCATTTCATCTAGAACCCTCTGAAGTTGCCAGACTTTTTCCACAACCTTCCCTGAAAAGGGGAGGTTGGAAACTGGATGGAAGTTGTCTAGGCAGGTGGGATACAATGATGGCTTTTTAAGGAGGGGGGGGAACCAGGGTCCCCTTAAAAGCTCCCAGAAATGGCCCCTCCACCAGGGCTCAAAAAGATGTAGGATATTGTTAGAATATTAAAAAAAACCTTGATTTTGCATAGCCTATCATTGTTCCGTTGCTTGTTTTAAAGATTTCAAACCATATGGCATCATTTCACATTTATTATAATAAGGCATATTTAAATTACAGATGTGATAGATGATCTGTGAATTGTTTTTGATTGCTTGCCTTTAGTCTTCTTCTTTGATTTGTGTACTAAAATACAGCTAATTGTTTATTAGCCTTAGAAAAGTGGTACTGGGTTCATCTGCAGATCCTGGTAACCGTGAACAGTCTGCCCTCCCTAGATCTTCCTTCTTCCTTTACTGTAGCAACAAGGTCATTGCTACAACTGCTCAATTGATCTTCTGCCTTGTGTGTGAATGGATTTACCAAGCATGATACAATAGCTGTTATTGGAGAAGTCTGTCCACATTAGGGAAAACCATCGGCTTCTCTTTCTGCACAGAAATTTGGCTTAATGAGGGGCAGCAGCTCTATTATGGGTCTGGGAATTAAGCGATCTCATAGCACATTAGAACACCACTGACAGCAGCAGGCAATCATGCTCATGTACCATTTATTTTAGTGAGGGGATTCACCCAGCTGCAGTGATGCCAGGAGAATCGACTGGTGTGAACAGCCACTTAGGTCTTAGTCATTACTGTTCCACTACTAAGTTATTCTTAAGCAACTGTTCCACTGCTAGGTGAGTTTTAAGTAACTGTTCCACTACTAAGTGAGTCTTAAGCAACTGTTCCACTACTAGGTGATTCTTAGCAACTTTTCCATTACTAGGTGATTCTTAGCAACTTTTCCATTACTAGGTGATTCTTAGCAACTGTTCCACTACTAGGTGAGTTTTAAGCAACTGTTCCATTACTAGGTGATTCTTAGCAACTTTTCCACTACTAGGTGAGTTTTAAGCAACTGTTCCATTACTAGGTGATTCTTAGCAACTGGTCCACTACTAGGTGAGTTTTAAGTAACTGTTCCACTTCTAAGTGAGTCTTAAGCAACGGTTCCACTACTAGGTGATTCTTAGCAACTTTTCCACTACTAGGTGATTCTTAGCAACTGTTCTACTACTAAGTGATTCTTAGCAACTGGTCCACTACTAGGTGAGTTTTAAGCAACTAAATAGGAGCCTGATATCTAAACCAACCACCAGTGAGGCAGGGAGGCAATCAATTCCAATTATTCTTACTTAGAGCCATTGTTTCAAGGAATGATACTGCACCTGGATAGTACTAACTATAATCAATGCTATAATCTGACTATTTTAAAGACTAAAATGGTTTTTGCCGGGACCACTGAAAGAATGCCTCCTTATGAAAGATTGTCAATGTTCGTTAAGTTAAGTTGGGGAGGTCACCTCCAGTGTCAGCCGATTCTGACTTGGGATCAACACTTTTCTCTGGTTTTCTGTGCATTTGTGATATTCACTGGAGAAAAAAAAAGTTCTTTAAGAAAGCTTTAAAGTCATATCTCATTCAGTTTACCTACAATAGCCTCATTGTCTAAAATAATTAGCTCACCAAAATCATCCATCTATGTTAATATAAGATTTGATCCTTTTTACAGGATTTTATATGCTTCAAATTATTATATCTTGGGTGTTTCTGTACACCACCTAGGGATGTGGCCTAAAATTCAAATACTTCTATAAATACAATTAAATAAATAGAGGGACAAAACCGGGCAGTTATCAAAGATATGGAAATGAGGCCCTGACAGCTATAATGCTTTTCTACGTATCCATGGTATTTGCTGCATTGCAAAAAGTACTAAAAATGGTTTCAACGATTCCACAATTAAATGAAGATACATGGGTGGCATTTGGAGCCTATAATGATTCCCCGTATAAATGTCTGTGGTGTTTAATTAGACACAAAATATTTTACATATTTTTAACAGCAATAACCTTCTGAAATATAATACAGATGTTTTAGTCTGTAGCATCTAGTTCTATAAATGCTAATTTCAAAGTTATGCAGTGGTTCATTCTGTTTCATATAACATTGAACAGAGTGAAATAAAAAAGAGAGACAAAGATCCCAATTTTTACTAATGGAACCCAAAAGATCCAGGTACATATAGACCAGTCAGCATGACCTGTATTCTGGGCAATTTCTTATCAGCAGTTAACAGAACAAAAGAATAACAGAATAACATAGTTGGAAGGGAATTTGGATGTCTGCTAGTCCAACACCTTGCTCAAACAGGAGACCTATACAATTTCAGATAGGTGGCTGTCCAGTCT